ATGAAACCCCCATCTCTACTAAAAATACAAAAATTGGCCAGGTGCCATGGCGCATGCCTGTGATCCTAACTACTCGAGAGGCTGAGGGAAGAGAATCGCTTGAACCTGGGAGGCGGGGGTTGCAGTGAGCCGAGATCGTTCCACTGCACTCCAGCCTCAGGTGACAAAGTGAGACTCCGTCTCAAAAGAAAGAAAAATGTATATATATAATCACAGGAATGAGTTTTCTGCAGAGCACTCCTTGAGAACACTGCACGAGGAGAACATTAACACCCCAAAGGCCAGGCAACGTCAGATAAAAGGCCAAACCTGGTTCAAAGCCTAGAGGTTTCCTATTCCTATAGCTAACATCGCTATGTATTTATCTCATATTATATTCATATAACTTTAAATGCTTTTTATGGGAAAAGTTCAAAATTTCTATTCTTACCTTTAATGCTCTCCGTACACCTAGCTCTTCCAATATATTTATCCTTATTAACACTGTATTAAATAATATTCTCGTTTCCTCTACTGCTAACCTAATCCCAGCACTTTGGGAGGCTGAGGTAGGAAGATTACATGAGCCCAGCAGCTCGAGACCAGCCCGGCCACCCTGGTGAAACCTCATCTCCACTAAAATTACAAAAAGTAGCTGGGCGTGGTGGCACACACCTGTAGTCCTAGCTACTCGGGAAACTGAGGCATAATAATTGCTTGAACCTGGGAGGCATAGGTTGCAGTGAGCTGAGATCTGGCCACTACAGCCAGCCTGGATGACAGAGCAAGATTGTCTCAAAAAACAAAACAAAACCAAAAATGATAAAAACATGATTACTAGCTTCCCCCAACACCCACAATGCCAAAGGCATCTTTCCTACATCCTAGGCACATAGTGGCCCAGTCTAAGTGTCTTCTTGTAACTAAGTTCTCCCCAGTCAATTGAGAGCCGAAAGAATCTATACCGTGTTGGCCTCACTTGCTTAAAAGAAACTTTGCTTGGTTTAGAGCGGCTCTTTCTTCTTCCCCTGACACACAGTGTGCTTACAACCCAGCTTTGCTCTCGTAGATGATGGTAACATCCTAGGCATGGCAGAAAATGAAGGGAGAAGGAACCTAATGATGGCCTGGTGCAGAACCACTCCACCAACTGGGACCACTCTATACACAAGAGAAAAATAAACTTTCATCTTTAATGAAGGCACTATACTTCTAAATTTCCTTAATATACAAATCTACAGATATGCTCACATATACATTCTTTTTCTAAACCTTTTTCACTTTCATTTTGTCCCTTTTTATTTCAGGCAAGTAGTTATCCTCTATTCGCATGTTACTCTGAACATTGAAAACTAAGGCTGGCCAGGAGCGGTGGTTCAGGCTTGAAATCCCAGCATTTTGGGAGGCTGAGGTAGGTGGATTGCTTCAGCCCAGGAGTTTCAGACCAACCTGGGCAACATGGCCAAACCTTGTCTCCACAAAAAAAACATACAACAATTAGCTGGGCGTGATGGCGTGTGCCTGTAGTCTCAGCCACTTGGGAGGCTGAGGCAGGAGAATTGCTTGAGCCTGGGAGGTGTAGGTTGCAGTGAGCCAACATTGTGCCACTGCATTCCAGCCTGAGTGACAGACCCTGTTTAAAAAAAAAAAAAAAAGAAACAAACAAAGAAAGAAAACGAAGGCTAATCATGATCATAATCATAAACTCACTATCCTATTGTTCTGTAATACATTTACTATGCTCTCAAGCTACCTCATGAGCTGTCTAAGTAGGTTCCTTTTTGTAGGTTTATATCCAATCACCAATAAACCTTCAAATATGACATTTCCCACAAATTCTTCATGATATGATTATGACTAATGACAGGAATACATCTTCATGATATACAGTACCTTTCTACAAAATAAAATATGCAACGGTATCTATTATTCAAAATTAGAATCTGTAATTTCTTGACGAAAGATACAGAGTGATTTAATAGTAATTGTTTTAAATGCAATCTTATGGAAAACATTCTGGTAAATGAGAGAAAAGCAAGTATTTGGAGGTAGCTACAGAAATATGTATGTATTTACAAACAGAACTTTGGTAAAGAGCCAAACAAAATAAAGTATGACTCACTGTCAGTAAACATTCCCTAAATGTCATTGCATTATAATGCGAGAGTTACTGTTGGGTTTTAATAATGTATATAAAATGAATTATTATTTACATTCTTCTTCAAGGCATTAAAAAGCAATCATTTAGGCCAGGTAAGGTGGCTCACACGCCTGATATCTCAGCACTTTGGGAGGCTGAGGCGGGTGGATCACCTGAGGTCGGGAGTTCAAGACCAGCCTGACCAACATGGGGAAACTCCTGTCTCTATTAAAAATACAAAATAAGCCGGGTGTGGTGGTGCACACCTGTAATCCCAGCTATCCAGGAGGCTAAGGCAGGAGAATTGCTGGAACCTGGGAGGCGGAGTTTGCAGTGAGCCAAGATCACGCCATTGCACTCCAGCCTGGGCAACAAGAGCGAAACTCCGTCTCAAAAAAAAAAAAAAAAAGAAAAAAGTTAAAAAACAATCATCTATATCATCTATTTAGCATACAGGTCTTTAAAGTCTAACAAATTAATTATCCTTTAATTTCTTGTCAATAAGTTGACCTACTTTTTGTTTTTTGTTTTTTTTTTTTTTGAGATCAAGTCTGGCTCTGTCACCCAGGCTGGAGTGCAGTGGCATGATCTCGGCTCACTGCAAACTCTGCCTCCCAGGTTCAAGCGATTCTCCTGGGATTACAGGAGCGCATTACAGTAGCTGGGATTACAGGCGCGCATCACCATGCCCAGCTAATTTTTGTATTTTTGGTACAGACGGGGTTTCACCTTCTTGGCCAGGCTGGTCTCGAACTCTTGAGCTTGTGATCCACCAGCCATGGTCTCCCAAAGTGTTGGAATTACAGGCGTGAGCCACCCTACCCAGCCAAGTTGAGCTACTTTTTTTTTTTTTTTGAGACAGAGTCTGGCTCTGTCGCCCAGGCTGGAGTGCAGTGGCCGGATCTCAGCTCACTGCAAGCTCCACCTCCCAGGTTTACGCCATTCTCCTGCCTCAGCCTCCCGAGTAGCTGGAACTACAGGCGCCGGCCACCTCGCCCGGCTAGTTTTTTGTATTTTTTAGTAGAGACGGGTTTCACCGGGTTAGCCAGGATGGTCTCGATCTCCTGACCTCGTGATCCGCCCGTCTCGGCCTCCCAAAGTGCTGGGATTACAGGTTTGAGCCACCGCGCCCGGCCAGTTGAGCTACTTTTAAGGAAATAATTAAACACCAAGATTTTACTACCCACGTTTCTTGTAGTTGCAACTCAAAGTAGCTGTTAGAAGTTTAAGACATAAAGGTTTATATTGTATTCACTTCAGAGAGTGGGTCAAGAGCTAACAGTAAATGCTTTTATTCTGAGCCTGATGTATTGCAAAGTTTACCTCTGATTGAGATCACATGTCAAGGAATTGGCAATCAACTTTAGAATGGTAAAACTGGAAGGAATGTTAGAGATCATAATGACTTTCATTTTACAGATGAGGAATGAAAGGTTTGAAAAAGTATTTTAATAAAAGGAGGCTTCTTGAAAAGGAAAAACATTTTTCATGGAATTCTAAATGTTGTACAAATCCAATCAATAATCTTTTAACACCTCTCTGAAGGGCTGGCCTTACCATCTTTCCACTTCACACACAGGAAAACTAAGGTATAAGCAAGCTAAGCAGTTCACTCATTATCTCTATGAATCAGCATCATTGCTGGGAACGGAAGCCAAAACTTTGAATGTTGGACCATTCTCACAGATGTAGGCTGATCTCATTCGCAGTGATGCTGGCTGGGGGCGAGGGGAAGCCATGTTTGGGAAGTCCCCTCATGGAACACTGCATTTCACAGAGTACTTGCTGACTAATGCAAAATGCTTCCTTAAATGAGTTCCAATGGATAATGCAGTCTTTAAGAAACAAAACAGTGCAACATGATTTCACCATCTTCCTCTAAAACGAAGTGCCTTTGAATCCTAGACATTTAAAATTTGCTTTAAACCTGCTTCCATCTCAAATATGGAAGTGCATATAATTTTATTTACTTTTTATTTACACGAGTCGCCTTTGTGAAGCCCTTCATGTCCCCAGTGAATATTTAGGAGGAGACTATTCATTTGGATCCCTCCTTCTGTCTTTATAAATATTATCACCCTGGAATGTTAAGTACTGATCATAAGCAAAATAAAAGTTCCTGGCAAATCTCAATATATGTCTTTTTCCCACCGAACATTACAAACTTCTAAAGACAACTCAACCCTTCACACACACACACCCTCTGCCGTGCCAGTGTCCCTGATGTTGCATCTAGTTAACCTACAAGGCCCATTCCCACGGGTCATGACCCAGTATTTCTATGACCACATTCAGTGCTGTGAGGTGCCCAAACCATTACCGCATACACCTCTCTGTGAACCATGCCCAGTGAGCTCATGCAGGAACCTGGGTTGGAGCGCTCCTTGCAAAAGGATCCATCACGAATCTGGGAACCCTCCCTCTCGGTTCTCCCTGGCCACACAGCATGGGAGCCGCTGGGTTAGGGCAGGAAAAGGGGCGCCTGCTTGGAGGAGGGTGGTCGGGTCAGGCTGTGCGCAGCCAGGGAAGCCGAGTTTGGGGAGAAGGCAGCCGGGGAGTCGAAGGGGATCAAAATACCCACAGGGGCAGAAAGATTTGGGGAAGAGGGGGCGGCGAGGACGACCCCAGTTCAGGCGGGAAAGGAAAGATGGAAAGGGGGCGCAGGAAATGGGCGCCAAAGAAAGAAGTGAGAAATTGCGGAGGAGGAAGTCGTCCCTGGAAGAGGAGGGGCAAAGGGGAAGCGAGAATGGAGTGTTTGCACTTTCGAGAGGGAAGGGCCAGAGCCTCCCTCGACCAGGGCCGGCGGGGCGGGCGCCTGGGGAAGAGGCGTCCGGGCGGGCCGAGGGGGCGGCGCGGTGCCCGAGGTCCCCGGGGTCCCTACCTGAACCGCTCCTGTCCCGCCGTGTCCCAGAGCTGCAGCTTGATCCTCTTGCCCGGCTCGATCTCCAGCAGGCGGGAGAAGAAGTCCACGCCGACGGTGGGGTCGCAGGCGGGGGAGCGCAGCCCGGGGAAGCGGCCCTGGGTGAAGCGGTGCAGGAGGCAGGACTTGCCCACGGTGGAGTCCCCGATCACGATGAGGCGGAACTGGTAGATCCAGATGGTCTCCATCGCTCACGTGCCCCGCTGGCTCCCGGGCCGCCCCACCCGCGGGGTAAGTTCGGCGGCGGGAACTGTCCCTTCAGCACCTCGCGGGCGCCTGCCCGCCGCCTTCCAGCATATTCCTGCGGCTGTGGCCACCGCCTGGTGCCCGCCCTCTCGGGAGAGAGAGGCGGGGCCAGGCCCGGCTAGGGGCGGGGCCTCAGGACGGGGGCGGGGCGGGGGCGGTGGCGCGTGGGAGGGGGAAGCAGGTTTGCTGCCGCGAACTCCCGCCCCTGACCGGCTGCAAATCATTCTCCCTCAACGCTCACTGGGCACCGGGAGGAAAGTGGGCGCGGCGAGAAGACGTGACGGCAGCAACAACCAAGGAAAATGAAGCAAGGGCTCAACTCCGGGAGGGTCAGCCAATGAAAAGTGAGAGTCGTTTTCTTACAGTCGTCAGGGCGGGTTCGTCAGATTTGGGCTCCGATTTTGGAAGTCCCTGAGGCCATGACTTGGGTCATTGCTTTGTTTCCTCTTTTTTTTTTTTTTTTTTTTTTTTTTGTCTTCAAGGCTGGAGTGCAGTGGTGAGATCTCGGCTCATTGCAGCCTCAAGAGATCTGCCCACCTCAGCCTCCCAAGCAGCTGGGATCACGGGTGTGCGCCACCACACCTGGCTAATTTTTTCCTGGGTTAAAAAAAAATTTTTTTTGTAGGCGTGGTCTCGCTATGTTGCTTAGGCTGGTCTCGAACTCCTGGGCTCAAGCAATCAATCCACCTCAGCCTCCTGAGTAGCTGGGACTACAGGCGGGGGCTACCACAACCCGCTAATTTTTTAAACTTTTGTAGAGATGGGGACTTGCTGTGTTGCCCAGGCTGGTCTCAAACTCCTGACCTCAAGGGATCCTCCTGGCTCGGCCTCCCAGTGCTGGGATTACAGGTATGAGCCACTGCACCCTGCTTTCTTGTCTTGATGAGAGCCATCTCCAAGGCTTTTTAAGGTGAAGGAGTTTTGGGCAGGATTGAAATAAATTTGCACAGCCAGTTCTGGGTGCTTCTAGCAAGGGCTCTGGCTGTTGCTGCCTGCTCCCACTGTCTGTTCTTCACTGCTGTGAGAAGAGTGAGAAACTCAAAGTATCATCCACATACCCTCTGGGGCCCTCCAACCCTGGGGACAGTGGCAAGAGAAAAAAAAAAAAAAAGCGGGGGAAATGTTGAGATGCTCATGAGAGTTTCAGCTCTCCTTAGTCTCCATTGTTTAAGTCAGAAGGCGAACAGGTGGTTTCTTAGCTCATGTCTGATCAATGATGTAAGCAAACAAAGCAGAACTTAAAATTCTGGTGAGATCTTACTACTTTCTTGTGCCTTTCCTCAAACTGAGTAATAGTGATGTCAAGGTTTATCTTTAAAAAGTTAAACAGTTTAAAAGTGTGTGTTTAGGCCGAGCGCGGTGGCTCACGCCTGTAATCCCAGCGCTTTGAGAGGCCGAGGTGGGCGGATCGCCTGAGGTCAGGAGTTCGAGACCAGCCTGGCCAACATGGCGAAACCTCGTCTTTATTAAAACTACAAAAATGGCCGGGCGCAGTGGTTCACGCCTGTGATCCCAGCACTTTGGGAAGCCGAGGTGTGTGGATCACGAGGTCAGGAGTTCAAGACCAGCCTGGCCAAGATGGTGAAACCTCGTCTCTACTAAAAATACAAAAATTAGCCGGGCGTGGTGGCAGGCCCCTGTAATCCCAGCTACTTGGGAGGCTGAGACAGAAGAATCGCTTGAACCTAGGGTGCAGAGGTTGCAATGAGCTGAGATCGCGCCACTGCACTCCAGCCTGGGCGACAAAGCATGACTACCTGTCTCAAAAAAAAAAAACAAACAAACAAAGAAAAAAAGAAAGCTACAAAAATTAGCCAGGCATGGTGGCACATGCCTGTAACCCCAGGTATTTGGGAGGCTGAGGCAGGATAATCGCTTGAACACGGGAAGTGGAGGCTGCAGTGAGCCGAGATTGCGCCATTGCACTCCAGCCTGGGCAACAAGAGTGAAACTCTGCTCAAAAAAAAAAAGTGTGTGTTTACCAAAACAAAATTTTCAACAGTTCCACTTTTTTCTTGTGCACATCCCAATTTCTGATATCGGTATTCATGCTTATTTCCTTTCCTGTTTTGGAGGAAGAGGTGTTGCTCTGTTTAATCCCCTTCCATTTATGTTTTTGGGGCTTTTCCTCAACAGTTGACTTTTATTTCATACCTTTTATACCTTGAATCTCCCCTTCTCCAGTGGCTTCTGCTCCTCAGCCTATAAACATGCTTAATTATCTACAATTCTAAAAGTAAGCAAAACACCTCTCCATGACGCCTCCCCTTCAGATTGTTGACTTCTCCATCATTCTCCTTTTCAAATATCAGAAATGACGATCTATTATCACTTCTCATCTACCAGTTAGTCTTCAAGGAGGCTTATATACCCTTAACATACTCTCTGTACTAATATACCACTGCTTTTGATAAGACTGTCAGGGACTTCCTGATTATTAAATCCAAGCTCCCACCCCCACCATCCTCACCACCACCCCACTGCACTGTCATCTAGCTTTAGTTGTCATTCTCCTTTTTTTTTGAGACGGAGTCTCGCTCTGTTGCCCAGGCTGGAGTGCAGTGGTGCAGTCTCGGCTCACTGCAACCTCTGCCTCCCAGGTTCACACCATTCTCCTGCCTCAGCCTCCTGAGTAGCTGGGACTACAGGCACCCACCACCACGCCTGGCTAATTTTTTGTATCTTTAGTAGAGACGGGGTTTCACCGTGTCAGCCAGCATGGTCTCCATCTCCTGACCTCATGATCCTCCCGCCTCAGCCTCCCAAAGCGCTGGGATTACAGGTGTGAGCCAGCGTGCCTGGCTTTTTTTTTTTTTTTTTTTTTGAGACAGAGTATTGTTCTTTTTCTATCTCGGCTCACTGCAGCCTCCACCTCCTGGGTTCAAGCGATTCTCCTGTCTCACCTTCCTGAATAGCTGGGACTACAGGTGTGCACCACCACACCCAGCTAATCTTTGTATTTTTAGTAGAGATGGGGTTTCACCACGTTGGCTAGACTGATCTCGAACTCCTGACCTCAAGTGATCCGCCTGCATTGGCCTCCCAAAGTGCTGGGATTACAGGCATGAGCCACCACGCCTGGCTGTGACTGAATTTTCTGTAAGCACAACCTGAACACTGTTACTCCTTGGCTTCCACAAAAGCATTCTCTCCTAATTTTCTGTTCTTTTTAACCTTCTTCAATGACTCCTCTTTCTATGATTCATTTCTTTAATACTGAAGATCTTAAGAGATCCATCCTTCATTTCTTCTCCCTCTCCCCCCCTTTTCCTTCACTTTGGGCTTTTTCTGGCAACCTCATGTACTCCGGTGACTTCAGTTACCCCCTTACCCATATCAAATGTCTTCCCCCAATCTCTGCTCTGTATTCAGGACCCGCATTTCCAACTACTTCTCTTAGATGTTGGATATGCATTTCAGACCCAACGTATCGGTGTTGGTTAGGATTCTTTGAAAAAAACTTCAGTTAGGGTGATATTAAAAGATGAGCGTGCTTATTCTAAAGATACAGAGTGTTTTTACAGAATCCACAGACAGGAATGATGTTGGCTTCAGAAAGGTATTTGAACTGGGAAAGAGAAAGCTGCCACCGGCTGGGCACAGTGGCTCATGCCTCTAATCCCAGCACTTTGTGAGGCCGAGGCAGGTGGATCACCTGAGGTCAGGAGTTCGAGACCAGCCTGACCAATATGGTGAAACCTTGCCTCTACTAAAAATACAAAAATAAGCCGGGTGTAGTGGCATGCACCTGTAGTCCCAGCTACTCGGGAGGCTGAGACAGGAGAATTGCTTGAACCTGGGTGGCGGGGGTTGTAGTGAGCGGAGATCATGCCACTGTACTCCAGCCTGAGCAACAGAGCAAGACTCCGTCTCAAAATAAATAAATAAACAAAATAAATAAAAGAGGAAGCTGCAAGAGACTCAGGCAGAATGTCTGTCTCTTTCATCTCCACTTCCTTCTGACATCTGCTAATTCTTAACTTTCTGCGGGCCCACTTTCTCTGCTGCTTAGTCCATGTTGAAGACTATAGCTGCTGCAGTTTCCTGTTAGATGTCCAGGCACGCACAGACACTTATTTTCATTTCTCTGTAAAGACAACCTAGTTGTCTCAGTTTGGAACAGATGTTTGTACCAAAGAGATACAGTGGGCGTGGTGGCAGGCCATGCAGTAGGTCAATCTGTTTTGATAGGATATAGGGAATCTTTGCAGTCCTAGATAAAGGGTGGATCAATGGCTTCTCTTTGGATCAAAAATATATTTTCTAGAATGTCAGAAAATGAACTTAGTAGCTTTCTTGCCATGTCTTCTTTTCCTGTATTTTATAGGTTGGTTAATGGCTTTTAATACCTATGCTAGCTCCCTAGACAAGTGAGGGCTTGTGCGGAATCTAAGCTGGAGGCTGGGGGTTTTTATTGCATATAGCAGAGAGATGGAATGGATTAAAGGTGGTTGAATGTAGAGCTAAAGATAATTTCATAGGTAGCATCCAAGGCAAAACTAATAAAATGGAAAGGAAAGCTGTCAGGTCAACTGAACCCTCTTAAAAGGCCTGGGTAGAAGGAGCGGAATATAGCTATAATGGCCAGGTGCAGTGGATCATGCCTGTAATCCTATAACTTTCAGAGGCTGAGGCAGGAAGATCACATGAGCCCAGGAGTTTGAGACCAGCCTAGGCAACATAGTGAGACCTCAATCTCAAGAAGAAGAAGAAGAAGAGGAGGAGGAGGAGGAGGAGGAGGAGGAGCAGGAGAAGGAGAAGGAGAAGGGAAGGAGACAAGGCTGGATGCTGTGGTTCACACCCATAATCCCAGCACTTTGGGAGGCCGAGGTGGGCAGATCACTTGAGGTCAGGAGTTTGAGACCAGCCTGGTTAACATGGTGAAACACTGTCTCTACTAAAAGCACAGAAATTAGCCAGGTTTGGTAGCATGTGCCTGTAATCCCAGCTACTCAGGAGGCTGAGATAGGAGAATCGCTTGAACCCGGCTGAGATCACACCACTGCACTCCAACCTGGGTGATGAAGGAGGAGGAGGAGGAGGAGGAGGAGGGGAAGGGGAAGGGGAAGAGGAAGGGGAAGGAAGCTGTAAGCCAATAGAAT